ATTATTCATTTTTTTATTCAGATAAAATCAAAGAAAAAATAACAAGATTACTTTTACCTGTATTGTCTCAAAGTATTTGTATTTAGAGGAAAGGAAATGTCTCAATATATTAGCATTAAATGCAGGCAGCAGGCAAAGCTCCTATAAATACATTCTTTCTTTGAAGAATATGAAAAAGAGAGATGATGCAGGATTGTGCATTAGTATGAGCATGCGCATGAGGTTTGAGCAGATGAGAGATTGTCATTTATTATGTTTCCCAATAATCACAGAATCACAGAATAGTTTGGGTTGAGAGAAGCAAAATCTAGTTCCAGCCCCCTGCCATGGGAAGAGACACAGTCCACTGGACAAGTCTGCTCAAAGCTCCATCCAGCCTGGCTTTGAACACATCTGGGAAAGGAGCATCCACTCCCAACCCTCTTTCATTTTAAGACCATACCCCCCCTTGTTCTATCATTACATTCTCTTGTAAAAAATCACCCTGACATTCTTTCTGTAACTTTAGAGATCATCCTGGTGGTACATCAAGGTGTTGGGACATTGCACAATAGCCAAGTATAGTTTTTGTGTTTCCCCCTTCAGCTGGGTTCATTCCCATGATACCTATGAATGCTGTAAAATCTCACAACATCCAAGAAGCTCATGCTAGGAGCATTGCATTGGAGAGTCATTAAAAGTAAAACAATCCCCTGCGATGATTTATGATGCCTCTTTTTCTATCATTATTATTCTTTCAACCATGTTATTAATCTCCCAGCTGGCATTAGAAATGCTGATAGTTTAGGAATGCCAACCCCACCTCCATCAGTAACACAAGCAATCCAGAGTTTCTGATCAAACTTGAGCAGCCTAAGGCAGCCCAACACTGGCCTTCCTCTGTGAGGTGGGGAACTTGGACTGGCACATCTTTCATGAGTTATGTAAGTTTGGGGTTGCTTTACTGGTCTTCAGTTACTTGTTTGACGTGTTACTGTTTTAGTGACATTGAACTATACATAAGTGTAATCTGTTAAACACATGAGTTCTGGGGTCATCTTTTTTTTTTGTATTTTTCATGAAAGGGCCCTGTTAACATGGTTCCTCTCAAATAAAAAAATCTTTTGCTAGTTAATATGTACAAAACTTTTGTGTAATCTCAGGGGTTTCGTGAATGGTACTAGGTGAAATGTCTGAAGTGGAAGAATTAGTTGTTTGAAATTTCATTTAAAATTAAGTGTTCAAAAGTGACCAATGCAAAAGCTGCTGAGATTATTTGAAATCTCAGACTAGAGTTAATGAGGTAGATTGTTACGTGCAAGGATAAAAATCTGAGACATATTTCTAAAGGGGGAATAAAATCTTCATCATGGCTGAAGAGAGGCTTAACATTTTGGGACATCATACATAACATATTGGTTAGGAAAAAAATAAACAAAGGGGTAAATCTACATTAGAAACATCTGTCTTTTAGTAAGTCATAGAGAAGTTTAGAATTATACTGCCCATTACTCAATCTCACATCTGAATATTTTCTGGTGCTTTACAGAAGGATTCAGAGTGAAAAGTGAGCACCCATTAAATTAATTGAAATATCATTATTTAATTTGACCTGTTTTCCTACTTTTGCCTCTAAAAGATAAAGAGGAAAATAGTTATAGAAGTCTGGAAAAGCCTTAAAGTACAGAAATACCACAGAGACTTTAGCTACATTCACATGGAATATAAAAGGAAGTTCAGAATAATATGTTTCTCTCTTGGTTTAAAAGAGGGCAAATGCCACCTGAAGCATATTGAAAAATCATAATATATTTAACTTTTCATTTTTTCCAGGGTATGTTTAGATAAGAAAATAAAGCAGTTTTAACATACTCAGAAGTGACTTTCAACCATTGCAAACTTTTCTTAGGACTCTGATTTAATTCCAAGGGTTTATTTTGATTTATCCTACACATGGTCCTAACAAGTTAAACTACACTGAAATAATGTGCCTGCCTGCCTTCCCTACCTCCTAGGGAAACACAGCCAAGAAGGGAAATGGACACATTCTTACCTTCCCTATTTCCAGTTGAGGAGTCAGGGATAAGGCTTTGGTGGGAGTTGAGGATGTGAATAGCCAAGTGTGAAAAAACCACCACCAGCCTAGGAGGATTCTCTTCCCTTCAGCTGTTTTTCAAACAGGTTCCTGTGCATTTTGTGCTCCCCTTTTTCCTCCACCTTTCTTCCCTTTAGGGAGAACCTCATCCCTGCCCTCCAGATAGAAGAGCATACACAAGCAGATAATTCCTTTGGACCAATACTTTTAAAAATGGAAAAGACAACTATGCTACTGTTGGGTTCTTTGTCGCTTGTGTTCAGAGGGGACCAGAGACCCTCAGTGGGGCAGAGGGCTCCCAGCAGTGCAGGGCAGAGGCTGTGCTCTGCTGGCAAGACTGAATTAATTTTAATTTTTTGCAGTGGGGAGCTGTCACAAAACTCTGTGCTATAAAAAAAACCTGTCAGAGCTCTGGAATCAATAGGAATAAGGGCAGGTGCACTCACTGAATTTTTTAAAACATTGTCCTATTAGAAGTGGTGGAGGGTGACCAAAGCCCCCAGTAAGCATTTTAATAATTTCTGGACTAAATGCGTAATTCCCAATATTTTGGGTGATCTTATTATTTTTTAAGTTCTAAGAATGATTTTTAGGGGCATACACTGCTCTTCTAATGATCTCTAACTTGCTGATAGCCAGTCACCACTAAATTAAAATGTCTGTTCCACTGCTACTCTGCTCAGAGGCACAGGGACAAGTCAAGATCATCCTGCCACCATGTTAGTCACCAGGGACACTGTTTTTTCAGCACAGTCCATATTGCTCAAGACATTCCAGTACCTCTAGCCTTGAATCCAAATAAGCACAACTAAATATAGAAAGAAGTTTTCTTTAGGTGGGTACATGTGTGGTACGTGTCTGTACTGGCAGTATAGTCAATCAGGATCTAGGGTTTAGTTCAGCAGAGTACAGAGAGGTGCCTGTCCCCTGTTACATGATATTCCCTGCTCCCCAGTCACTTCTCCTGAAGAGTACAGCTTTTCCAGGCCCAAGAACATAGCTGCCAGATCTAGGGGATATCTCAGATACCTTAAGGCATCTCAAATGGCACTGGACAAATAAATTTGGGCAGCTGAATTAAGCCTTCTTTGTGCCAAGTCCAAAGTGTGAGGCAGCTGAGCAGCCAGCAGAAGCCTTCCTGAGGATTAGCTGCACCTCTCTCAGCTGACATGATTACTTTGTGCTGCTTGGGAAGTTTAGACACCTGCTTCATATGTAGACACCTAAATTTAAATATCTTCATGTGGAGCTCAATCCAAGTCCTATTTTTCTGTTCTCCATTACAATTTGTGATGTCCTAACTTTTCCTAGTCAGTTTTCCTATTTCCCAATTCTCACCCAGACCTCCTGCATCTGGTTATTGTGAGCTTGAGATTTGTACTGTTCAAAGACACCATGTCCACTTCTGGCTCTTCTTCATCTCTGAACTTGCTGGATGTAGAAGCAAATCCAGCATTTTTCATACCAAATTATGTAGCAGACACCTATGATCCACCTATGTAGTAGCCAAAGACATTTTAAATGTCAGAACATAAAACAGGCAGAAGGTCAGTCATGGGATGTCAAACAGTGACACCAGCCAACAGTGAACAGCCAGGGAGGATTGCACAAGCAGGGCAAACACACAGTGATATTTCTCTACAAGAGTTTTGCAGCCCCCAACATCTGCTACTTGAAGACATCCTGAGCCAGAAGTGGGCTTTTGGTATTAATTAGCCCAGGATTAAATCTTCTCCCCTAAGACTATCCAGCTGGTTTTAAACCTACGTAGATTTCGATCCCCTTGTGTCAAAAGTTCCACAATTTATCAGGACAATCCTTAAACCACAGAAACAGATTGTCTGTACCCTTGGAATTGTATTGACTCACTTTCTGGGCCATTCTTGTAGGAGCTATGCCAGGGACAATATGTGTGTTTCTACCCAACACAAAAGAAGCAAAATTCGTATCAACAAGAACCTGCTTTCAACTATTCACCAACAAACACGGATTTAGATTATCCTTGCATAGAAATATACAAACAGCATAAAACCCTAAAATTAAAATCAGGTATTTCTTAGAAGGGCTCTTTAAGCTTTTAAAGTTTGCCAGGGAATTAATCATGAGGTGAGGAAGAACAGAGCTTGTTCTGTGCTTTTCTAGTCCATGCATAACAGCCTATCTACCCCAATCCTTAAAAGACATTATGCCTTCTCACAGCATCCGTGTGCCATCACTCTGCTGCTTCTCCTCCTCTCCCCTTAAATGCTGTTCTGGCTCTAAGGACAGCTGGCTGATTATTTCCTGCACACCAAAGTCACTCTCACTGTTTGAATCCGTGACCTGAAGAAATAAATCCTAACACTTGCCGAACTTCAACTAACTTTCCAGGCTTCCAGCTAAAGAAATGCTTCTGAATACCCAGTGCTGTATTTCCTCCCTTCCAGGAAATGGTACATCAGGGCAGTTGTGTCCAGAAACTACATTCCTCAAACACACAGTGTCTGTTCTCATAGGAAATAAGTACTGTGCTTGACTCTCACCTCTGGGCCTGCCTCATTTTTTTTCTTACCTTAGTTTTCTTTTTTGTCTTTGCACAGAAAAGTTTATATGGAAAGACAGATAAAGGGGAAAAGTTCTAATCCATCTACTGATTTGTACAGTTTGCTACATCAAGTTTCAATGCTCCTACATGAGGTTTCTTCAACATTAATCCTTTTATCCTTATGCTTTGAAAATTGCCTCACTTTTCACCCTGGAGACTCCCAAGGTAGTTTTTAACACCAGCTCTGATCTCACACCCCTATTTCAAACAGGAATCTCTGTGTTTTGGATTCCGACCCACTATAGGAGTCTCTCTCTTGTCCTTCTCATTCAGCTCATGTAGATGTATGTACTATTTCCTGATACGTGGACATTAATGCTTTCTGTAATGTATTTCTTTCAGACATCATTGTTCTCATCGCTTCAATAGCAGTTGTTTCTGCAAAAACTCAAGGTAACATTTTTGCAACATCAGCACTGAGAAGTCTTCGTTTCCTACAGATCCTTCGTATGGTGCGCATGGACCGAAGAGGAGGCACTTGGAAATTATTAGGTTCTGTAGTTTATGCACATAGCAAGGTATGTAATCCTAAATACTAATTTTGTCTGGTTGATATCTTCACTTGATGTGATTCAACAAGAGACCAAGGAAATAAGCATTTATCAGTTTTGAGCAGAATACCCAAAATTTTCTAAACTAACATTAATTGTGTTATGAACTAACACAGATACATCAGGCCATGTTTAATGCTAACCGTTTTTAGAGATTTTAAAAAATGTTGTCCTTGATGGGCAGCTGTAATTTGTTATATCTTGGGGATGTTGCTGAAGCATCAAACCAAAAGAGTAGATCTTGTCCACTTTCAGAGAAAATTTGCATCCATAGGGAAGCACTTGACTCATAACTGCACAGATGCCAAAAAAGCATTTACATAGATATTTTCATGATGCCTTCTTGAAATGTCATTCTATTCAGTCCATAAAATGGGAATTGATTTCTGTTCTTTTTTGTCTAGGAATTAATCACAGCCTGGTACATAGGATTTTTAGTACTCATCTTTTCATCTTTCCTGGTTTATTTGGTGGAAAAAGATGCAAATACTGAATTCTCCACGTATGCAGATGCTCTCTGGTGGGGCACAGTAAGTACAGAAAAATAACATAGACTCTCTAACCAATATGCTAAAGTGCTTTGAATTTCCCCTACTAAGGATTTTAGTTTAGTATGCTGTTCAATGAATTGTTTTTACTGACAAAAAAATAGTCTGAGAAGCTTCCTCCTTCAGCTATTCATTTGCACATTGACAGATTATTTCAGTCCATCCTGCAGAACAGCTCTTTATGTTTCTGCTGCAAACCAGACCACTAAACCTTCAAGAGAAGAAAGCATTGTACTTTTTAACCCTTAGCCTTTCAGTAATATAGTTTGTAATATGGCCCCACAAAGAGCTGTTTTGATACAAACCAGAGGGCTCTAAGTGACAGTGCAGGAAGAGGAAAAAGTGTCAGGAAAAAAGAGGGGAAAAATCTTACATCAGCTTTGGCATGAGAGTATCATCAGTGCCCTTTAAAAGATTTTGTTTCTCCTTCCTCTGTACCTTGAGGACAAAGACCAAGAATAAGTATGTCAATTCTGCTTCAGCAGTGTTATTTTTTACAGGTATACTTGAGATCATGGTTAGCTATCAAATCAATTGTTTTTATTTTGTTGAAATCTGTGGGATCTAAGTACATGCCTGATTGCTTTTCTTAAAGAGGATTATATGATTGTTTTTATTTTGTTGAAATCTGTGGGATCTAAGTACATGCCTGATTATATGAATATGGTTAAAGAAACCAGGCTTTCAATAAACAAAAAAGGCCTAAGTTTGAAGTTTTTATTTTTTTTAATGGCATTATGTGTAAGGAGTTTTGCTGAAAAATGTCCTATAGTGATCCAGACTTCTTCACCGCATGAGAGTTACTCAGGCAGCTTAAGAAATCTGCCCCAACAAAGCCTAAGGCAGTTATTGTCAGGCAGGATAAAACTGCTTTTCTTTTCCTTCTGATGCAGTAGAACACACACAGTGTGCTCTGGTAGTGTCTGGGTAGTGAAATGATACCTGGGAGATCATTAATGCTGACAATAACATAGAGCACTCATTAGTTTCCTTGGAATAAGTGTGAGACCTGAGCCAGCCTCTGCCACCTTTCCTTATCAGAGGGATGCAAAAATGAAGCTTTCTCACCTCAGACCTTTTGCTGACAGGATTTCATCTAGATTTAGTAGTATCTGCAGACTCAGAGCATGGACACAGGGACTGCACAAAAGCCCTTTCCAGAATGTCTTAAATTATTGAAAATATTTGTAAGAAGTTTAGTCTGCATTTTGAGCTAAGGTCAAGGTTACTCACTATTTTTAGGGATAGTTAGTGTATTTGAAATTTATTCATCTAAGGGTTAGTCATTTGTTGTATGTCTTCCCTAGAGACTATACTTTTATGTTATCACTGCACAAAATTGGGAGCTTGGAAAAGCCAGACCTACTAAATATTATGTGTACATTTACAAATATTCAGAAATATATTTTGCTGAAACTTGTTGCTTTAGAGCAATCAAGGCAGATCACTGATAAAATATACATTTTATCCTGTAGTACAAACACACGTAAAATTCATATTGGCTAGAGTCACAAGAGAAGGTTTTGTATTCAGTGAAACTTGTTGCTTTAGAGCAATCAAGGCAGATCACTGATAAAATATACATTTTATGCTGTAGTACAAACACACATAACACCTTTTCTCGTGAAAAGGTTTTGTATTCAGTGCATCACTGTAGTTTGTTTCCCATTTCTTCAAAAGCAGAGTTCTGAGTTTGCCTTCCTGTATTGATAAGGTTGTGAAGCATCTGGCATTGGATGCTGATGTCCTCCCTGATGGGTACCCAGCTCTGGCAGTCTGAAAACACCATTGCCCCTTTAGGATGGCAGTGGGGATGTGATCCTGCAAGAGACCCTCCTGTGGCTGTGCATGTTCTTGGGAATGGATCTTTTCAGACATTTGATTTCCCAGGAAACAGCCTCTACCTCTCTGCAAGGGCCTGTGTGCCTTAGCCCTGCACAGGCAAGGAGAAGGGCTGAGCAGGGGATTGTACCCACCTGCCAGCTGGAATGGGGAAATGTATGCACAAGGAATGAGAAAGTCCCAGCAAACTCAGAGCTCCAATCTGGCATCTGACTGAGGCTCCTGTTAGATCCAGATCCTTCTCCTTGAGCAGCTCTCGCAGCAGGAACAAGACCTTTATTTTAGAATTTGCTTCTCCACTACCTGCTGACTGCAATTTTTTAAGGAAAAACCCTGCTAGGAAATAATCATTGTATAAAGTGGTGCTTAAAATATTTTGTACACTATGAAGTGAAAGTGCATGACTCAGAGGTTATATAAGTAGTGCAACTGAGAAAATCAGGAATCTTGCCTAGATTTCAACAGGAAAAACAATAAATTTTATTTAAAAACCTGAAAACAATATATATTGTATATTTCTATATATTTTCTTCTTTCCCCAGTGCATGACATTAATACATTTAAGTTTTTAATGCACTTAAGCAAGTGCACAAACTTACTAGAAATCAGTGTTCCCCCTTACCTGATGTCTTTGCCATTTTAATAATAGTAATTTTTTCTACAATATGTAAAACAGTATGTGGGAAATGCATAATGTGCTTCTTAGTCATGGATGTTTTTACTGCCAGAGTAACCCACATGCAGATTTTTGAAAAGGACAGACTGTATGGCATTTTGGGGGAAATCAATGCTTAGTCTCATTGATTTGTTTATTTGCAAAAGTTATTCTGACTTAAACCACAGATTATGTACCAAACTCTGGACTGAATTTTGTCATGGCAGAGGTACAAGAAAGAAAAGGCTCCTGAATTTCAATATTTTAGAGGCACTTATGCTTCTCCTTACAGGAGCAGCACTGGCACGCTGCAATTAACCCATTCATTAATTCAGATTACTTGAGGACCATACACTGCCATGGTTATTTCACTAATTCCATTTCTGAAGCCCATATTTATACACAGAAATGAAAGACAGGATATGGCATCCAAATTTACATATGAATACTCTACTGTATTTTCAATTTCATGCTGTAGTGTGCAACCTGCTATTGAATCATCATGTTAATATTACTACTGTAAATATTCTTGTGGTTGGGGTCTCCACAGTGTTACCTAACACAGCAGCACACAATGGTGAGTGTTATATGGAGAGCTCAAGTTCAGAATTTGCTTTGGTAGAGAGGATAAATTAATTTAACAGAAGAAAATAATAAAACCATATGGGAACAAAAGGTCAATTTAAAAACCTAAGTACTTCAAAACCAAACCATACACAGTTTTCTGAGATATACTGATGTTAACTAGAACTGTGGGTACTTACAGTGACATTTAGTTTGTACATTAATTAGCTTTAGCTGCAAATGTAATGCAGCTGAAGTTTCTGTCCCTCTTACACATTTGACAGAATTTCTCTTAAAAAATCTTTATTTTCTAGTAATGCCCAATAGTTACAGCTGGATACAGATGGGCTCTGGCACTCCACAGTGACCTGTTAGTGAACAAAACATATTACAATGAATTACATTGGCACTAATGACTAACTCAAATAAGTTTAACATTGATGAAATTTTTCCCTTTTAATGTAATGATAGCATGAGCAAACTATATTTTTTAAGTGATGTCAGGTAACAATTCAAAAGGTAAGTAGTGCGAGGAGAACATAAAATGACATCAGAAAGAAATATTAGTGTAGCGAATGGCCTCCTGAGTCCTATCTCATCTAACTGAAGTCATCTAAGTTATATCATCACACTCATTTTTATATTACCTCATTTGTATTAGCATATTTATTAGCTCCAGCAATGAGATAACAGTTGTTCTATAATCATTGTGAGTTTTAAGCTTGGCCAGATGACACTGCCTGCTTTGGCTAGTCTGTCCAGACCCCTCACTTATAGAAAAAACCGAAATGGAGTGGTTTGCATCTGGTGTAAAAGACAGAACTCAGCTCTTTTAGCCATGCAGGAGTGTGATTCAGCTGCTTAGACATAGGCATACAGTACCATCAGAGATCTGCTGGACAGTCTGCTGCCTCTCCTGTGAGTGGTCCCTGTTCAGATGCCCTAGTACAACTCTAATGGTACTAGATTTTTTTTTTCAGACAAGCCCAAGTCCTACATTTTAGGATAGGATGAGTTACCTTTGAACTTTGGCCACTTCTCTCTTACCCACACAATGCTAGCTGTAACTTCTGTCTGCTTCTTGCATAATTATCAAGATTCTGGAAATTTCTTATGTTGTTGTGATTTCACATCCAGTAGTTTTCCACACCCTGCTCAGTTAATTTAATCTCAGGATTATGCCAGTCAAGGCCTGGCCAATGGTTCAGTCATTCATTAGCAGCACTTACAAAGATGCAGTGGGTTATTCCCAAACTTAACCTTTCTGGACCCTGAAGTTGTCCAGAAAACATTTTCTTAGTTGTGTGGTGATAGTATAAAATGAAGCTCAAACCCCTTTGCTCGGTGTTGAGTAAGACATCACAGCACAGTGCTGACACCTGTACACTCCTGTAAAGACCATCCTGAGATAAAATAGCTCAGAGTGAGAAAGAAGCCACTGATATTCTTAATCAGAGACTGCTACCATTAAGTCCTTAATACCTAGAAGAATTGAGGGAAAGGCTTAATAGGGTCTTGTTATTTTCTTTGGAAAAATTGCAGCGATACACTCTGTGTGACTGCTCATAGTTTTAGATTGCTCTCAGATGTCAGGTCCCAAAGGTTGGAGTTTATCTCTGACTTCTTTGGAATACAGTTCCGTGGCAATATCATTAATATGCAGATGACGCTTGGTTCTGTTTCCCTCTCATCTGCCCAGACAGGAGATATCTCTGTACTTTCCAGCGACTGGCAGAGATAGGGAGCTGGATAGAAGCCAAGAAAGAGGGCTCATTCCAGAGCTCCAAACTGCTTTTCAATAACTGGCCTGGAAACAAATTTTGAGGAACTTTTATTCAGGGATTCATTTGTTCAAGTGTTTCATTCCTCTTGGGCTCTTAATAGCCTCAAACTGTTCTGCAGTTGCCCTCTGATGTGAAGAGCTGTGATTATCTTCTTCAGCAAACAAATCAATCTCCTCTGCCAGGCCAAGACCATGGCTGCACCAGCTCATCTCTGCCAGAAAAGAGAGAGTTGCATTCTCATTTTCCTTCCTCCTTCTTACTCCATCTCAGTCTCTCACTGCCTTGTGCAGGCTCTGGAGCTTGTTAGGCATGTCTGTGAGCTGACACAACGGACCAAAGCAGCAGAAACAAACCACGCAGAAATGTGGATCATTTTCTGTCCCTTCCTGGGTGGTATTGGCTTGCCAGAGTCCAGAAAAGGCTCAGAAGAGAAGATGGGGCAGGGAAGTGAAGAGGAGCAAGGAAGAGTGAGACCTGATAGGCATGCAAGGTGGTGTGTCTGTGACCAGGCTAGTGTTGCAAAACTTGAGACTTGATAACCACTTGAAATTTCAGCTGCAGCCTGAATTCGTCTCTCTTTCTTAGTCCCTGTGGCTTTCTCAGGGTAAATTACACCCGCAGCTTGTTCCCAACAATGGGAGCAATTAAAAGCACTGTTTACTATCTACAGAGTCCTAAATAGTTGAAATCTAATTACTTCCAAAAGACTTTCCTTCTTTTGTCCCGTGGTGACCCTGACATTAAATAGAATTGTTTTGGCCGTCTTGCCTAGGAATGAACTTTGAGGAAGCTGGAAGCAAAATAATGTCTCTAGAAGGCAATTTCCTGAAGAATCTGTTGCTGCCAGAATATTTGCTGAGGCTGAACTTGCCCACATTTGGTACACGATGTAAAATAATTCTCCATGCACATGTTCTCCCTAATAACAGGCCCTGGAGTCCTTGGCATTCAGCCTACTGTTGTCTATCTTTGTCCTTTAACATCGTGTGCCGTTGCCTGAGCACGCGTCCCGCAGCCTCCCAGCCGGCTCTCGGGAATCCTCTGCTCTGCCCATACCTTCTCCAGCTGCCCACGCCAGGCAGCTGCGTGGGTCTGAACTCTGTGAAAGCACACAGACACAACTCTTCTGCCAGTCCAGTCCCCAGGTATGGGATTGCCGTGCTTCCTGGGCAACAAGTAGCCTGGAGGGCAATTCCTTGGGTCAGGGAAAGTGCTCAGATTGATCTGGTGCCTTCAAGATGCTCTCAGTGAGCCCCAGCCATGCACCATTATCTCAGTGGCCACGTTGCTCATGGCCAGTGGTCAATGAGCCCTTCCACCTGCACTAAAACTTGCCTCCCCTTTCTCTTTGACCTGTCCACAGGTCGGTCTGAGCTAACATGGTCCAACAGCCCGAGGTATCTCTGCCTCTGCTGCTGCATAGTAACCTTTGGACCTTCATGTCAGGAGTGATGTAGGTGTATCTGAGCCTGTCATGAGGAAGGGGAAAGGACCAGAAACTTTACTTGAAGTCCCTCCCAGCTTTTCATTATTGTTTTTTGTGTTTCAGAAGATAATTCACTTCAAATCGTACTGATGGGTTTACAGAAAATGCAGCTGCTTCTTGCAATTCCTTTGCCTTTATATCATCTGCAGGCATCAACTTTTTCCCTCCTATATTTTTCCAGCATTATCTCCATGTAACTTATATTTCTTTAGTTAGACAAATACATACAGTTATATTTTACTGTAGAAAATAGGAGAAACACCTTCACATCTATGGAAAAGAACACTTTTTTTCTTCCCAATTTATATATTTCCTACCATTTGCCTCAAATTTGAGATCAAGGTAATTTTTCATTATTTTTAAACTTACTGCTTATTTAGGTGTTTTTTTCTCACATTTATTATTTATCTCAGTTTTATTTATTCATAAACAGTGCTACATTTTCACAGAAAAGTGTCAATGTTAGTATATTTATGTTCATTTTTTTTAGAAACAGCTATATGTTTCAGATGTCTTGGATTGATTAGTGGAAATGATGCTTCATGCAATGTAAATAATCTGCAACTAATCTGTCAGTGACTTCTGGTAAATCACGTTGTTCATTCATTTCTTTTCAGATCACATTGACAACCATTGGCTATGGGGACAAAACTCCTCTTACTTGGCTTGGAAGGTTGCTTTCTGCAGGATTTGCTCTACTTGGCATTTCTTTCTTTGCACTACCTGCGGTGAGTATGCCTACAAAATTAAAACAAAATAATAGAAACTCCTGTAGGTCCTGCCACTGCTATGATACTTAAAGCTGAAGGAAACTGTCTACATGAAGAACAACTTTTTAAGGCTTTTTGCTCTGCAACAACACTAGTGAAGTGCATCCAAAATCCAAAGAAAAGGTTTGGTGTCCTTGCTTTAGTTTTGGAAGTCTCTCTGGCATGGACAAAACCGGAAAATAACCCTAAATTAGGTTATGTACTATTGTGTAAAGCTGAAAATCCTTCCTTTTGTTAAGAATTGTGACTTATATATTATTGTTTTTCTTTCAAATTTTTCAAAACAAAACAAAAATAAAAGCAGAGTATATGTCTTTCTAACTTAGATTATAGTGAAAAAAATAGTATTTCTAATAGCATGTTTTGTATGGCCGTACAAGCTACCAACAGAGAGTAGTATAAGGCCTTAAATCAACTAATGGTTAATGATGTTGAATGCAAAAGATGCAATTCTCATTTTCTGTGAATAATTGTAAATAACCATTACAGTTTATTTATGTTGTTTATATCAATGTTCAAGAAATGGAAATGGGAATTATCCAGTGGAAATGGGAATTATCTAATGACTAAAATATAATGTAGCTTCAAAAATAAATTCTCTTTTTTTTTGAGTGAATCTCCTTTTTTATTAGTTTTGAATAAATATGAAAAGAGAAGTGGCATTTGTATTTTTTTGTACTGTTTCCAGTGCAATATCTTTTGATATTTTAATACTCATACACTTTATCTCATATACATGGATGTTATAATACTTCATTTGTTTTCAACCATATAGATAAACCAAGATAAAAAAATCTGCATTTGTCAACAGAATTAAATCATCTGGTGCACTGCATTTATTTCTTACTCTAGCTACAAAGAGTATTTCAGTATCTTTGACATACTATAATGCATTATAATTATAACCCATTACCTGTTTGTGAATCCTTGACATTTATTGACATCTACTGTAATTAATTCCTTTTGTCACCTAGTCACCACTAACAAGAAAGCTAGTCTTAGCAGCACTGCAATGAAAAGAGGAATACCCTTACATATTAGAGATGCCACAACTTTTGTTCCTCATGTCATATCTATGTACTAGTTTTCCTCATAAATACTTCAGTGCTGAATCTATCTGTAAAAGAAGAGGTATATGGGAAACTTTTGCACGTCTTATAGTATTTTATCCTGACTAAGAATCAAGTGGAAATATTCTTCCTTATAATGCAGACATGTCCAGCAAAAGTATTACATTCCCTGCAAGTCAAGAAGGAAAACATCCTCAATTTTTGGATCTATTCCATTAGAATCAAATTTATCTCACTCAAAGGTAAAAGGCTAAAAGAGGAGAAGTTTCATAATTAGCTTTTTCATAACAAATGTTCTAATAAGTACTCCAGATGTGGACTTTGATGTCCATATATATCTGGCATACCTGTCAGGTGGTCATTTTCTCATTCTTGACTCAAGTTCCTCTGAATATCCATGCTTGATTTTATAAATATATATCTATCTCTATGGCCTTGGTAGTTGTAGGAACATAGTGTAGCACAAAACAAGGCAATGGGTGGTCATTCGTCGCACCACAGATGTTATGTAAGAAATCTCCTGCTTCACCAGGAAAAGGGGCCTTCTACTGTCATACACTGCTCATAAATGTGTTGTCTGGAGCAACCATATGGTGTAACGTCTTCACAGAATCTTTGTAATTGATTATGTATATTTGTTCAAAGACTACCTACACATTGATAAAATGATATTGCAGGGCATCCTTGGCTCAGGATTTGCATTGAAAGTGCAGGAACAGCATCGTCAGAAACACTTTGAGAAAAGAAGGAATCCAGCTGCAAGTTTAATTCAGGTAAATATGAAATCACCAAAAAGATAATCACAGGTGATTTAAAGTACATATTGGAACAAGTCTTATTATTTCCATTTGGAAAGTTTTGTGGAAATAATATTTAACAGACTGATTAGTTTAATGAAATTACTGTGTTCAGAGACTGCTATGTGTTGCCATAATTCTGTACAGAAACACACATGTCTTTAGGTTGCAAAAGACCTTTAAGATCATCAAGACAAACTATAACAAGACACACAGCATTACTGAGTGTAGTTTTTGTTTTTCTATCCACGCTAAAGAAACAGAGGCAAGATGCCAAATGCATGCCTGCAGTCAGAAAGCTGTTTGGAAAAAGAGAATTGATCCCTAGACAACCCAACTGACAGCACAGCGCTCTTGCCTATATTAAGCTACTTTTCATCTACTACAGGGTTTAGAGTATTTCAGTGAGTGATATTCTTGGTGAAGATGAAAAGTGTCCTGCCCAGAGAATTGCTTTCACTATGAGTCAATTCAAAAGCCAGAAATGTAGGCACAAACAATTTTTAAATTGCCTGAAATTGTCTGAAGTTGTTCTGATGTGATGGTGCAAATCAACAAAATGTGGCATGGTATGTTTTGCATTGGCTTTTTCTAACTTTCAGTCCTAGTTAAAACTGAGAAAATACTCTAAAGAATCATTTTGCACCAGCTTTACTCTACTTGATGCACTGAAAAAAAAGGGAGGAAATAATCTCCTAGAGTCCTAGTTTATTTTCCTGCTATGCCAAGTATTCTATGTGTGCCATGTATGCTGGGTTTTATTTTTGAAATAGTAAATCCAAATAAAGAAGCTGAGTATGAATATGGTAGAGTTCCAAGCTAAGTACAGATAGATGTCAGATTCTTTGAAGCATTTTTAAAGTTAATAAATATTTCCATTATTACTGTTCAATTATTATTAAATTCTAAATATTTGAAATTTAATATTTTTAGAATAATTAACAGAAAAAATTCTGCTTCTTTTGTATCTAGCTTAGAATGACTGTTTGGCATATTTTCTAACACATATATTCTGTGTTCATACTTCTTTCAAGTTTGGTTGCCAGAGGAAACACATAATAGATTTAGGTTTTGGATATAGCTCTTATTATTTTATGACAGCTCAACCAAAATATTAGTAAGATAGCATGCTAAATAAATTAAGAGTAGCCAGCTGCCTGATTCTGTAGATTGACTCTCAGCAAGTAAAATCATTGAAGGAAGTAAAATCAGTAAAAGGAAGACGTTTGTTGTGGGATCCCATGATGAAGGCTGTTCAGCATTTACATGTTCATTCACAGGTTCAGCACTTTCAGTGATCCAGAAATTAATATAAAATTGCTGGTAGAGATATTTTCTGAAGGCACAAGGCCTGGCAGCACAGGAAATATAAGAACAGGCAGACAGGAATAAAACCAAGGACGATCTGGGTGACTTTTAGTGTGAAAGGATCATTGCCAAATGGGTTAATACAATAAATACAAAACTTGATGTAGAAACTGAATCCAGATAATTATGTCTCTATCCCAGTATTAGTGAATTGGGAAAGGATTTGATGAAGCATGAGAAATCCAGAGGAGAAAGACTGGGAAAGAAGGGTCAAGAGCTTCATACAAGTTCCCAGTATGTTACCACACCTGGTTTTATTAAAGTCCTTAGATACAGAACCATAAATATAATGAGGAGAAGACTGATCCTATCACTGTGTATGATGATGCTCATACTAATATGCTACGTATAAACTCAGCATCTACACTTTGTAGTGAAACTGAAATATTGGAGAAAGCAAATAAAATATTGGAAAAATGGATCAAGGACTGGAGAAAATTTTGTGTTCATAAATGCAGGATGTGTCTGAACTGCATATCATTGGGTCCTGTAACAGTTTCCGGGTGTTTTTTTAATTATCAGTGTAATGTCTATTTTCTAACCAGTTACACTGTAGAATTAGTGTGTGCTAACTCATCTGTTGGCACAGATAGACTATTTGATAGAGCTTTTACCTGTAGACAGCTGTAGAAAAGTGAAATATTTGGTATGGATATACTTTTCTCAATTTCTTTAGCTTATAAGAAATATTTAGTGTGAGAATTATTTGAACACAGAAGCTCAGAGAGAAAGTCTTGGAACCTACTGGACCATTCAATGTAGTAGACAGAAACATAGCAAGTAACTGGCTTTAAGCCAAAACCAAAGAGTTTCAAATTAAAAATAATGCAGAAATTTTTGACAACAAGAATAATCAACCAATGAAGCAATTTTCAAAGTGCATAACAGGTTCTCCATCTGTTAATGAAGACTGGATGTGTTTCTGGGAGATACACAGTAGGAAAACACAGGGTATTAGATTCCATACAAGAATACCTAGATGACATTTAATGGTTGACAGTATACAGGAAGCACAGATGCTCAGCTAGTACAAATTAATATAGTTATGCTGACATCAGGGAACACATCCCAGCTTGTAGAATCAAGGCTCATCTTACTATCTACATGCATTATAAATCTAAACAATGGACACATTTTCAATGCTATGCTTTGGTTACTCACTTTTGTTAAATGTTTAAAAACACAAAATGAATAATTTCAGTGTTTCAAACCACAGAGAATGCTTCTCTTTGCTTCTAAGTCATTTTTGTCTAGTTTTCATTATGATTTGCAGAATATATTATGACATTTTCTTTATGTCAGACTGTAAGTTTGTGTGGTTGTCCCCTATGGACTTGTCACAAACAAATCACTGCAATGCTTTTCTGAGCATCTTTATGTGCTGAATATCTTCTGGTGCTTTCATGGAGCCAGTAAGTCTTATCTTACTGCATAAGGTGTACTGGGATTCACAAAAGTTTGGGTAGGTTTGATATTTCCTGAATCAGCCTAACAAAGCACATTCTGGTCTGAGCAAAATCCCCTTGCTCCGTAGTCAGTGCGGTGGCATTGTCACTTCATTTTCTTGGTTCCTTTGTGCTTTTCTATTGTTTCCCCATACCAGGCTTCCTGGCGGTTTTATTCTACCGACGCCAGCCGAACAAACATGGCAGCCACCTGGCGATATTATGAAAGTATTCTTCCTCCCCTCAGGCATGTATCAGTGCTATGAATGATAAGAGAAAGACACAACTTGTATTGGTTACTAATCTGCTTTTCAATTTTTTGTTTCATCCCCTACTCCCTTTTGCCTTGTTTTTTTCTTTTTTTACCGTATATCCTGCACGTAGTGTGTATGGCGTAGTTATGCTGCTGATGAGAAATCAGTTTCCATTGCTACCTGGAAGCCTCATTTGAAGGCCTTGCATACCTGCAGCCCTACAAAGTAGGTACAAATATGGCAGCTGGTGCTGGTTTTGATGTGTGTTCAAGCTTATAGAGAGCTAGTATTTGTCTGTTTCGTCTTGGTTTGTTGTCTTAAGTCTTCTCATTAAAAATTTCAACTAACAAATCAGATCAATATCATGTAGGAGCCTAGGAACAAATACAAATCATTGCTATTTATCTTAGAAATGCACAGGCATTAGAAACATTTTCCCAACAACCCACTCATGCATCATGGTTAATGATTCACCTCATTCCAAATTATCCTCAAGGAGAAAAATATTAAGTTTAATGCAGAGCTTGTTCCTTGGTTCAACGGTATGTTTACGCCTGTGCCTCTGTATAAGGCTGTAGCTGCTGATCTACCTTTCCAAAGAAAGAGTGCCTTGTGCTATTTTGCAGATGAATGCACTGGGGAATTTGCTCCTTTTTGTCATAACATCTGATATATTCAGTATTTCCTTAGGACAAACTATACATACAGACAATGGAAGATGACTCAAAAGACCTGTTGCCACAGTTTGGCAGACAGGGAATATTTGATATCCTAGTTTGGGTGAGAATTCACAGAGCACTGGCAGCCCAAGACTTTTCAATAATTCAATAAAAGGTTTAGCAGAAGGCAGCAAGTTGACTGATTCAATACGGGGCACAGATCAGGAAGTAAAAAAACACTTGATAAAGATCAAAAAGGAGAGCGCTAAGAGCCTTATGGGAAAGCTCTGATAAGCATCTTAACTGTTGTTAATTGCAGACAGTGCAAGAGAATTAGTGGTTTCTCTCAAAGCTGGGTGATGAACATCCACATGACAGTAAAAAGGTAATTGTGTGCCAAAAAGCTCAGCCAAAAAGAAGTTTGGCTGGGTATCCAAAGCTGATCTTTGAATTTCAAAGAGTTGACAAGAACAGAGCCGTAAGTAATCCATTACCATAACTCTAATTCCAAACTGCTCCACACTAAAAGGAGCTTTTAGATTAAAAGTTACATGAAGTATTGATATTTTACATATACAAACAGGCTGAAAGCAAAATTAGTATAAATGGATGGATAGAAAATTACATAAATAATGAAGCTGTATCCCACATAAAATATTCTAAAATATGACTGTCCCTCAAAAGTGCATCTACTTCTTATTTTAAATAAGCATATTGCTGTGCTAAAATTGAACCTTTTTATTTACCAGAAATAACTTATCTAATAAGAAACTACAGCTTTCTGTTATATATGTGTCAGCAATGCATTTTGCCTAAGTGCTTTGCCAACTCAGTCTGCAGTGGTATGTACTAAGCATGTTATGCATGTGTTAAAAAACCTGAAAAGTTTCTTTTCCAGAAGCATTGTAGTTATGAGTCTTGCTTGAATGTTTTTGTGGTTGCAATGTGACGTGTGTGTTGTGCACCAATTAACATATCCACTTACGTTTATCATACACATAACATCATCTGTAACTAAGTAATGTGATTACTATCTGCATAACAAGTATGTTTTTCCCTCCCACTCCCTCACCTGAAGAAAAGAACAAGGGGAATCTTCTAGCAGGTTTGTAGTTTCTTTTATTTCTTTTATCTGTGAAATTGCTGTTTCCTAATGGCTTTTAGATGTCTTGGGTTCTGTACAGTATGTTCAATGAACTGCAACCATTGATGGATAATAATCACAAATTGGATCTTTATAAACTTATATACTGCTGAAATTTGCTTCTTTGTCCCAGTTTTTCTATGGGAAAAATAGGCAATTTTTTACACATTTAACATGCTGTAGCTTTGAGAGGCTCAGTTTGAACAGTGACAGAGCAGCCAGTGGTTCAGTTTCCCCAGACCTGGCTCCTGGGCAAGGACACGTCCCCAGCTTCTGCTGTAAAATCAATGCAGGAATTGCAGTGAAAGTTACAGATATATAGTTTAATTTGGCAATGTGAAGAAGCCCACCAACCCTCCATTGCAGGGAGGACCCTTTGATGGGTCTGGTCGGATGTTACCTTTGTTCTGCAGGAGCATCTTCAAGGCTTCCTCAGTGCCATGTCTCCACATTTTCTAACTTTTCTGTCATCCCCTTCCTAAGGAACATTTTGGACATAGGAGGTGGGGTGAAAGCAGCACTGCAGTGTCTCACCTCCTCCTGGCTGCATGGCTTGCACTCCCCCATGGCCCAATTCAAGCAGAGGAGCCAGGCTGGTACCTTTGCTGAAGAAAGCCCCACTCTGTCAGCCAGGAGGGCAGGTGGGCTTCCACCCAGCCTAGCACCCGGCTGAGCACCGACTGCCTGCAGCTGGCAGCAGCAAGCCTTGGCAGGGCTATCCTCACTGGGTAAACAAAGCTCTGGAGAGGCATGTCCTAAGGCAGTGGGAGAAAATGCTGGTCTTTGCTGTACTGATGGCCCAAACCCTTAGGGACAGGAAAGGCCTCAGTGGCTATAAGAGAAATTATTCTATCTCAGAAACTTGTTAGAGATTGGAATCAGTGGGTGTTTGGCAGCTGGCACTGTGGTATCAGCATGCTCAGAGAATAGCAGACTTTACCTCCCTGAAGAAAACGCTGAAAAGCCAAGGAAAAAAGTGTTGATGACACATCAGCCCCTGAAATACATCCAGTCCCGAGTTGTACTGTGGTTCACAAATGCTTCTGGGTTATTCAGTCTTCATATCAATTACCCATGTCCCATTCCACTTCCCAGACTGATCCTCTGGCACCTGCCTCTGACCTTTTCCTCCAAGCACATGTAACTGCTGTTAGTGTCACTGTAACTCAAGGGGACAGGATTTGCCCTGTCAGTCCTGGGACTTTTTGTATACATTACCTCCACAGGCTTGCTAGCAACACATTGATCTCATTAAATTATTACAGTCTGATCCAAACTTCTTGCACTCACCAGCTGTATTTCCTAGTCTTTTGACAGCAGCATTTAAAATTGACTTTTTTAAAGGTGACACAGAAGTTACCAGTAAATGAGTACATCCCTCTAAAACTGGGATTTGTGCAGAGGGGAGAGGTTATTCCCAGTTGTACCAGCAAGTACTAAAAGAGACAAATTTACTTACAATAACTGAAAACTAGATTTAAAAAAAAACCAAACAAACAAAAGAAACCCCCAAAAATCCAAACACCCAGCTGTCAAAACCATACTGTGTCTCCCTATTGATAATAACAATTGTGGCTTTAAAAGAAGTCAACAATTTACCAAGATTTATTCACTTTATTTTCACTGAGTGGAAGATACTTGCTCCTTCAGAAACACTTAATTAATACATGCACTGCTGCAAATTAGTGTATATGTAAAAATGAACTAGTTAACTTCTAAGATCATGTTCTACTGTAAAAACCCTACAGACCACTCAGTGCCTTTAAAAAAAGGTGTGTTTTTTCAGTGGCTACTTATTGCTCTTATGCTGATATATCACTGTATGTTTGTACTGAAAATACATGTGGTGTATGTGGTCTTTTGTGGCAAAGATGTAAATGCAAACTGCTGCAATGTACTTTGAGATACCTGTCCTTGCCTATTTAACTTGTTTCTTACTGTGATGCTAAGTGACTTGCATGGGATGCTATGCGAACTGATTCTTCTTATTTCACTCTTTAAATGAAGACATGTTTGCACAAGCAGTACGTTGGATTGAATGCTGAACATGTTCTTTGCTCTACATTCCCTTCTAAGAACAGTGAAGAAAAACTTGTTTTGTATTAGGGAAAAGTTCATTATCTTCTTTCCTACCAAATTGGCTTATATTTACAGAAATTAATTCTTGTGTTTTGTCATGTATAAACCCGCAGTCTTTCATTAGGTGACTAAATGTTGCTATGCATTTGAGTTGAGAGAGCTGTGTTTATGAGGCTGCAGCTTCAGATTGATTTTAATAAAAATATGTATGTTGCATTTCCTAAAATTTTACGCACAAGTATTCTAATTAATCATTTATCAAAGTATTGGTAGACAACCTCTCTGGTGTATCCAGGCTACAAATGAGATATTTCTATAAATCAGTTCCAGAGTTGTGCAAGTTATTTTAAAAGACTATATCTTAAATTCTTAATATCTGCAAATGCACACACTGAAAACAAACATTTATCTCTGTTTGGTTATACAACATGGCTGAAATAGATCCTGTGCAGGAAACTAGATCAAGACTGATGAATCTTGTCACATACGGAGAGCATAATCAGTCTTAAACTGTGTAGGACAGGCACTGGGTGTCTGCAAAGGATGAATGTCACCCATTTAGTCTTGTAACTCATGAGGCTGAATATGCATTCCCTATTCAGACAATTCTCTCTGGTGCAATAAGGAGCAGTTTTGCCAATATAAGATGTTCAGAGAAAAAATCAGCCCTATTCTGAGGGAAACGAGTAAATTATGTTATGGAATTCTTTCACCTCCTATACCATATCTGTTTCTAAAAGTAGATTTAATATAAACAACTCTGCATGCACCATATAAAAAAGAAATTGCCAATGATGCATAATCTAACTTGAGGTGGAAAACCTAACCCCTTACCCAGCACTGGAATGCTTAGTAACAGAGTCCTCTATCTCCCCTCACTCCTAGTAAGCTTTGTAGTAATAAACAGAAGCTCTTCAAGATGTACACCCCTCGGAAACATAGGTATTCAGCATCCTCCTATTCACATGATGTTTGAGAATGCCAACTAACATCAGGTGCATGACTCATTCACTTCCCCTCCTTAGTGCTTTGAAGTTCCTTACTTCTCCAGATGATGTTTCCTATTTATTTTTAAGTGCTTGTAAGTCCCTTTTTGCTTGTTGCCTGCAATGCCATTAACGCAATGGCAGCAACACCAACTCATCCAGCCAGACAATTGCAGTGCACAGCACACCGCAGTTTTACAAAGCCCCATTCCCCTTCTCTGCCTAAGACTTCAATTTTTGGAATGCACTACCCTGTGGAGATCTAAAACTGGGGTTGAGTGTTTGGATAAAGCCACTTCCCCAAGTCCAAGACGATTTTTATGACTATGGCAGTTGATTTCTCCATCTAATTATTAGTGGAGAATGTTAAGCTGTAGCATGCTAGGCAATTACAACAGTCAAAATGTGCAATTGTTCTTGAGAAGAATCCCCTTGGACACATCTTGTGGATGATGTGCCTGCATCCTGTGCTGGAAGGTAGAGGAATGCATGTGAAATCAAGCATCTGCTTCAGCTGAATTCTCTGGAAATTGTGTCTCTTACCAAAAATGGTAATTCCTAGATAGATGAATCTTACTGGAAGAAGCCTATGATTCATATCTCAAGCTGATTGCATTTTTTCTTACTTTTTAAAAATCATGTAAAAGACAGTATAAGTACAAACTGATTACAGGAAATTAGGATCAAAATAGCTTCTCTTCATTTAGAAATTATTTTGGAAAATGAAAAAGTGCACAAACACCCTGAATATTTACTTTTTCTGTTTGACGATTGAACTATAATATACTGTGGCCTGAAATTCTTGCTATTACTTATTGAAGGTATGAGATACAACACTAAATTTCTTGAGTTTGTGGTCCTAGCATGAGACTGGTGGTGAAGTCTTTGAACTTTAGATCTCACACTATTATCCATTGCATTTGCATTTGCTCAGCTTAGCTTAATTTCAGTAAAAATATTTGTAGGCTTAGTAAGAACCAACACCTGTATTTATAGGTAGCTAACTGCTGAAAATTGGCATGTGCATTTGCTGTTGTTTGCCATAGGTGATAATTTTTGGCAGTTTTAGCTTCTGTCTCAAGACTCAAAGCCTTCTTCCTCACCCTCAGGCCCTCCAGCTATTTCTGATTCATTTCAATTTCTTCCTATTCTTGCTTCCACCAATTGGCTCAGTATGAAAAGCTGAAAAACAAGGTGAAATTATGGCTAGTAGCTAGCAGTAGTGCTGCAGGTCTGAGACTGAGGCGGAGCAGAAGTTTTAACTTGACCAGAAATCTAGGAAGGTGGCAGGCAGATGGGGGAGTGGGACTGGGAAGGAAAGAAATGCTCAGTTAATAAAGCATGGGGAGATGGTCCGTGGAAGACAGAGAGAGCAAAGGTTTGCTTGCATTTGTCAGGTAAAACTCTTATCCAGAGTAGTCATTTGGACCAGGAGAAAGTGATCGTTCCCTCTGCAGTGAAGCTACAGTGACCTCTAGTGTCCCTACACACCCATTCCTTCATAGATCAAAGGTGGCAAAGGCAGAATTTGAAAACGAAGAAATAAAAATTAGAAAATCATTTGCTATCCTAGGGAAGTGAGCGCCTTGGGCATGAAGTGGGAGGAATGAGTCACAAGATCCTACAACTGACCTCTCAGAAGGCAGACAAATACAGAAAAGTCGTTTGCTTCCTTTTCTGTAGCTGCCAGGTGTAATTGATCTCCACTAAAAGGTGCTTCAAAGCTCGAGTGTTATCGATAAGAATACATTCCACAACTTTCAACCTGCAAGAATAGAGGAGTGATGAGTCCAAAGTGACTACCATTGCCAGGGAAGTCTGTCATAGGAAGAAAAATGTATGTCAACTAATTGGGCTAAATTATCAGTCATATAAAGTACAAGAAATTATGGACAGACACATATCTAAAGGAATGCAGAGATAACTGGAGGCAGCTGTGGATCTCTCAGATCATTGTAATTTAGTTTTGATTTAGGAACTTGTGCTATTTTATTTTCCTGTTTCCTTCTCATGGTTTTTGCCCTTTGGACAAACACGCAAAGTTTGTGAATACTTATGGGGATGCATGAATATCCAATGGTAATTAACAGGTTTACATTGATTCAAGGGATTTCCTTTGGATACCATGTAAAAAGAGAGGAGAAAATGTGAAAGATAAAAATATAATAGGCCAGGACCTGAAAGATTTGAAGGATTTTTAGCACACACAAGCCAGTACTGATACAACCGGCATTCAATCAGAATAAAGGGCCCTCAAGGAGTCACTGGCTATTGATTCAAATACAGAATGTCCAAAGATGCTTGAATGGTGTGTTATCTTCACTCTGCAATTTTAACACCATCTCTATTGCTATTGCAACAAAGAATCCAGAGCCAGGAGCTAGGCTTTATCCTATAAGGAAAGGGACTTTTGCTCTGGGGAAAATCCTGGTCAGGGTGTGCTCAAAGTGCTCTGATTCAATTACTCCTTCATGATCTGTTATTTATCATACATAGAAGAGCCCCAAGACAGTGTGTTCCCAAGCACAAGCTTTCTTTTCTCAATCTTTCTTCTCCACTGTCAGTTGCACAATTTATGCCTGTGCTGAGAAGGACCCAGTGACTTCAGGAACATTTCCCACCAGTCTCAAAATAGGAACAGCAAGCAAAGAAGCAAAGAACTGCTCTAACTAGTCTCTTTGGGTATGCATCTCAAGATGCAGAAGAGAGTTTTCAAACCCTCCTTCCTTCAGGGGCTGTTTCTCTTCACAATGCAGTACCCTCTGCATGGACCCTTGACATACCAGTACATTGTCATTGCTACAAAGCAGACTTGATTTGAGTTTTTAAGTATAAGCCCTGCAGTTTACATTAATATTTCAATTCTCAGCATTGCACTTTTGAAAAATGTCTGCAGTACAGATAAAATGCCTACTGTCCCTTTCAACACTGCCTCACTGCTTTGATTTGGAGGACTAAAGATATTCAAGTTAAGTAGTCATTGTGTACCATTCAGCTCCTATAAATGAAATAACCATGTCTACCAATCATTTAAAGTCAGCCACTGCTTTCCTTAGTACAAATTAATTGACAGAACTCCACATGTGCTGTTTTGACTTTGATTTTAAATTTTCATTTTTATTTTGAAGTTAATGTGATTATTAAAAAATATTATTTATATAGATAGTTTTTATTGCTATTTTACCCATTTTCCTTTTATTTTTATTAGTGCAGCAGGAAGAGAGCAGTCCAGAAACTTTTTAACTCTAATGTTTGAAAAAAAAGAGTATCATTTCAATTCATTTTTCAATAGCAAGTATAATTTGAGCCATAAGGGGAGTTAAAAAAAAGGGGGACACTTGTAGGAATAATATCTATAACAAGAAGTCAGTTTTGATTCTCTTCCTTATTGTGTATAATATGACAATGCAATAATGTGGTTAATAAATATTTTACAGTTTATATTTTCATTGTTGTGAAATGCAAAAGATTCCCGAGCTGAAATATAATTCAGTCTTGAAATGTAATTTGTATTCAAAGCTAAATTCTGGAACACTTTTCTTTCAAATATTAGGTTCTCTGGGTCTTTTGTATTGCTTATGCCACAGCATTGGGTAACAATTTACAATGGAAATAGATAACATTTTCATCCCTGTGATATATTTATTTCAACAATTGCTTATTTGGGCAAGAAAAGAAGGGGATTACATTGAGAAATTATAGTAAAGGTATTCTTTCAAGTAATCCAACATGCCATATAGAAATAAATTTATCTAATAATCTTCCTATTGATGTGTTCATTTTTCAGTATTCTTGAAAATTATCACACTATAAGCATCCCAGCATGTGTTTTGCCTGCAACAAACTGCATCTTTTTTGCTCTCAGACTGAAATGCTGTGCTTTGCTATGCATGGACAAAGATATGTTTATCTCAACATCTCACAGCCACAGAGGTTTATAACTACTTTCCATTTCATATAATTACATATTAACACTGTATTTTCAGAGTTCAGTAGGTTAAACATCTAAGAACCACATAGTCCATCTTAGCATTAGTTAATTATCTGCAGGATCTGTTCCTGTTCAAAACATCTTATGGGCATGCTGAAATTAAATGCAAAGACCTTGAGAGCACTAGAAAATGTCTTAACTTCAAGAACCACCATAATTTTCAGGTAGGCAGTCATTGGTAAAGGTGTTGTAAAAAACACCCTGCAAAGCCTACACCAGGGCAGCAGGACTGCAAGTCCCAGTAACACCATACCATGAACAAACACTGCATTGCCCTCATCATCTCCCCCCTTGAAAGAACAGGACCACTGATCAAGGTGACCATTCCCTTGCTCAACCAATTTAATTTAACCTTGCATATAAAACAATGTTTCCAGACCTTGGTATCAGACTCTTTCTCTGTTTGCCCTTCGCGTCTTGTGCTACAGGAAGGGACAAACAAAGGCAAAAATGTTAAATAATTAAAAAGCATAGGTAGCTAGTCACAGTGACCATAAGATGTTCATCAGATATGTTTGGACAAAGGTAATTTAAGCACCAGGAAATAGAAAATCTACAAACCCCATATTTAGCTGGGTGGGGGAGAGGATTATGAGCACAGCAGGGGAAAAAAAAAACCCTTACAACTGGGCAACCATAAGACCACAGAGTCACCAGTGATGCAGCAGACACAGTCACGAGCTTGGGTGGGCTCTGTTACCTGTCCAGTACCACCTGCACATGGTCAGCTCCCAGCTATATCTTCAGCAATGACTTTAGGCAGCACACAGCGTATCATTGCATTTCCATTAATCAGTCATCATGCTGTTTCTTGGATATTTGATTAATTTTGGTTTTGTCTTGTCCAAGTGCTCTAACAAGGAATTCTGGATATGAGTGATCACTAATCATGCATATGAAATGTTGGAAGTGCCACATCCTGCAAAAGCATGAACATACACTAACAATATTTTTTGCATGCTAAAAAAAAATCTCAAACCAGACAATACTACATGGCATGCAGCAACAATAAAATAAATTTTGGTTTTATTTATCAGAAGATATGGCCAGAAATGCACTGAACTTGGCTGACTAAGATGGAAACAAACCTTCAAGTTCAAGGAATAGAAAAAACATCATAGAGATTAATGTTTAATAATTGGGTGAAATTGTTTCTATTTGTTATTTTTAATTTCTTTTAGAAGGTTATTCTGTATTGTATGATAGACTGGCAATGCTAATGCTTCTATCAAAAAACAATTACATCAAATCAGTTCCATTCACAAATTAAATATATTCAATGAAAATAAAAGTGTTTAAGAAACAGATTCATACCAGTGAGATTTTTTACACATTATTTTTGATAATCATACAATAGAAAAAAGAAATGGATTGAAGTAACTATAAAATAAAATATATTTCTATCTCTCACAGCCAAAAGCTAAGTTTCAAGGAGCGGGTCCGGATGGCCAGCCCACGAGGTCAAAGTATAAAAAACAGGCAATCTTCAGTCGGAGATCGCCGGTCCCCAAGTGCTGACATTGCCACCGAGGGCAGCCCAACCAAAGTCCAGAAGAGCTGGAGCTTCAACGACCGAACCCGCTTCAGGCCCTCGCTGCGGCTGAAGAGCTCCCAGCCCAAGCCCATGGTTGATGGTAGGAGTTGTTCACCCCTTGTTTGCCTGCTCACACTCCTGCACACTTGCACAGTGACTGAACACATTTTAGGAAGGCAGAATGAATTAATGTTTGGGGCCAGAGACACAAGCCAGCTATAGTCCCCGATAATGTGATTATTTTTTTTAATAAGAAATCATTTCAGTGGTGCATAGGGAGCAACTGGTGGGAAAGGGGGTCACAGTGAAAAGTCACAATGGACTAAAAGCATCCCAGGGATTTGGCTACAAAAGCTCTTCTGTCATGGCCCCTCTCCCACTACTGGGCTCAACTGCTGCCCAAACCTTCTGCCTCTTGCTGGTGGTCCACACAGAACAGCCAGCATTGCCTGTGCCTTTGCCAGCTGGGAACACAGCTTGTGCAGAAGTGGCTCCCTCAGACAGAGGAGTCCCAGTGCCTGCACTGGTGATGCAATCACCTGCCATCAAGGGATGCACTGCTGGCTGCTTTCAGTTTTACAGGGTTGTATCTGCCTTGATAAGGCAGGTGGATTTTGCAAACAAAACCAGTGTTATGGCTTTTATGCATTGCTTTCTTTAGGGTATTTTGGATGTAGGAAGCACTCCTAAAAATGGCTTGTTGAACCTGCAGCAGGCAGCCCAGCCTTTCCCTCAAGCTGCCTCCTATGCTGCTCCATTCTCTAGCTTAAGTCCAATTTGGCATTAAACTAACCAGTATTCAGGCAAGGATCTTCATCTGATGAAGCCTGCCAAAACAAAGACAGTGACTCCTCTAACCAAGGAGCACCAAACTGGGTGACAGTAGCCCCCTGGCAGGCAGGAGCTGAGAGAACCAAGTGAAACTGATGTGGGACGGGTCCAGCACTGAAAGGTGCATTCACATAGCTCTGAGGGTACTGCACCAGTGGATTTTGTTTTGGGTTTCTCCATTCCCATATTTCCCAATCTATGAATGTTTTGTTCTTTCTTGGGGTATCCTCCATGTAAAAAAAAAGGGAAACAAATTGGTTGACTGCCACAGAATGCAGTGACCCTGGCTGAATGGGAAAGGTGCAACCTCTTTCTACAATGGCATCATGCATGCTACATCCAACAATTGCGGTAAGACTAATTAGACAAAAGTGTGATGTTGATGTCACTTCCTTTTTAAGAGCACTTATTATTACAAACGTGTAGGTTGCAAAAATTCATTGAACTGCAATGCCCCATCCCTCAGTGACGATGTTCTACATAACAGATATCTTCGGGAAAAGCCTGGGTAAATAAACATTTCCTGGAGGGCAACCAAGACAAACCAATGGTATTTGCTAAGGTCATCATTCCAGGCTAGCCCTCCCCCATGGAGATGTCTCAGATTTTCCAAAATTCTGAATTTGCCTGAAGTACAGTGAGTTGCTGGGGTGTATCAGCTACCAAGATACTATCCAGGTTGCTCCACTGCAGTATCCATTGCTATCCACTCCTATCTGCATCCTGGGTTATGTCCCATGGCAGCTGTATCACAGGGGCTGTGTGACCTAGCCTGGGTCTCACAATGAAGTGAAGCTCAGCAAAGCTTCATAGTGGGAACTGAGAAATGCTCTAGGTAGCATAGTGGTTGAAGCTACCCTGTCTAAATTTAGGCATTCTACATAATCACTTATAAAGCACAAGTATCATCCCCAAACTGCATCAGAAGTAATTTCGTAGATTAAACCCCTGTAATTCACACTGGGCCTGCAAGTGACCTATGGAGAAAGTAACTTTTTGAGCACTCTCTGAGAGTATCAATGGTTCACTTCTGCCCCAGCTCTGCAGTCTGCACCTCACTGAAGCACCCGTTTCATTTTTCATCAGCCCATTTATCATAGAAGCATCTCCTCAGCATGTCCCCTCTTTTGTCCTGTACACATTGCCATTAATAACAACCATGTGCACAAGCAGATCATGCCGCCTCTGATTGTTTCCCTCTCACGGAAAAGGTGGCATAAACAGCACCTGGGGAATATCTGTAGATAAAAGACAGAAACAACAACAGAGCACTCATTGCTGTGCGTAAGCCCTTGAAGATCTTCCCGCTCCTCAGGGTGAGCGCAGCCTGTTTCCTGGTCAGTGATTTCCAGCTACTAGTCCACCCTTATGAACTGGGGCCAACAGATACAACCCATTTCTCATCCGTGGCAGAAGGAACAGCTTCCATTGTCTCCAGCTTTTAGGCAAATGCCAAGTTTCCATTCTGGGACCTCATCCAACTACTTCTAGGACCAGTATGATTAGAGAGATGTCCAGTGTGCTCACTTGCTGAGAGACAGCTCCCTTCTGCCTTACCCAAACTTTTTCAGGAAAAGTCGGGCACTGCTAATGTTCATTTCTTTTTCTTTCTTTTCTTTCATAACTTGATACTTTCTGCATTTGACAGCTCAGTGAAAAAGATGTCAAGATGATGTATTTAATTTAGAACATCTTGCATTTTCACTGGATGAAAAAAAAACAGTATTTGCAGCATATTATTCTTATCTCTTGTTTGCCAGGTCATCCAATTTCCTCCTTGACGTATTCCCCAGCCAAATAATTAATAATTTTGGCAGGCCAATTGTCATGCCAAAACTAGAAGCCAAATTTTTCTGGGTGAAATCTTGGGCACAAAACAGTATCCTTGAACAGCTGGTCCTTCTGGTGAGGCCTACATCTCTGTAGGGTGTTTGGTGGGAGAAGAAATTACATTACGAGATACCTTTGGGGCAGTGACTACATAGTGCTGGATCCCCAGATCAATGTCAAAACTTCATATCAGTCTTACTATGAATTTCCTCTTCCAAAAGAGAAGAATGGGATGTCGAGTTGTAAATGTTCTGCTGAGGCAGAGGACTGAATTCTGTGTGAAAATAAAGGAAAGATGCAAATATATAAGGAGAGGGTTCCAAAAGGAAGGAATTTTTTTGCATATGAGGATGATTTAAGGCAGATAGATGGTCAACACAGAGACTTTGCAGTGCTGACTGAGTTCTGGTAAGGACATGGCTGGAATCTGGGCCAAAATCATCAGAAAAAGACTTCTGGAGAAACTCAACATTAGCAATTAGAAGCTGGCCTGCAAAGGGAGATTTTGAGCCCAGACAGGAGCTCATGAGGGTAGCTAAAATGCTAACCTGATTGAAAATGTAGTAGCTTGCCTCTTAGGCTACCCAGCAACAAACACTCTGGCACTCTCCAACTGCATATTAAAATCATAGAAGGAGAATTTCTTGGCAGCAAGTAAAACACTTAAGCCAGCCACTGGTATATCCCAAAAGGGTTTTGGCATAACAGCCTTAGAACAGCGTGACCAAAACCATTGCACAAATGGCTTTATGTATGGTTAGTAACAATCTTCTGAATCTGCCTATAAACCATTTATTGCCATTGACAAAGTGGGTCTGACAACGGCCCACTTTGAAAAAATACATAATTATTTCAGTTACATATGTGCATTGGCAAATGGAATCCAAACCTGAGAGAGGTTTGATGGTTAGAGAAGTTTTTGGTGGCCTGACTGGAGATGCTTTCTAGAGCATTCAACAACAGCAGAGGGGAAAGTGAATATCAAGACTTACATAATCTGATTTTAAAAACAGGTGCAGTTTCTGGTGACGTGTGGTTCACAACTTCCAAAAATCCTGTTGAAGAGGGGACTATGCACAAATTCACAAAGGTGCCAGAAGGCTGTATTTCCAATCTCTGTTATTAGCCTAAAAGAGGATTATCAGGAAGAGGTAGATGAAAGGGATATTTTCGCCATTCAAGAATGGTTAATAGTGACGTTTTACAAACTACACACTTAAAAAAGGATTGGGTCATGGAAGAGCCTTCCCCAAAGGAATGCTACGTCCCACGGGCAAAGGTGCTGCCTGACCTTGAAGCCCCTCACAGCACCCTGTGCATCTGTACACAAAGTGAGCCAGGAGCCACCTCTGGCCTCCTCATGCAGTATGGCTTTGGTTCTTCCCTGTTCTGTTAACACAAACAGGGAAGCTGCAGCCAAACTCTCTGTGGGGAGTGGTGCCCAGAACATGAGAATACCCACCAGCAGGGTCCGTCCCATGAAAGAGTCTGTGCTAGTTATTAAATAGTACAGGTGATCACATGCCTTGCTTAAGGTACTGTGCCCATGCCTCGTTGTATGTTGTGTATCCATCCACAGACACTCAACCACACAAAATCTCTTCTTTACAATGGTGTTCCTGTCCTGATTTGTTTTCTTCTTGCCTTACTTTCTGAGGAACAGAGTCTTTTCTGTTTAAATCATGCTCCAGTCTTGTACCACCACAGCTGAATTAATGAACCAATATTATGTTGTGGATGCAGTCTTCTGTGAGGGATAAAAATGCCCTATTATATTTGTTTTCTACCATCCCATGCTTCTAAGCCTCTGAATGAATTATTGTGCCTTTACTGTAACCTAGAGACATTGTGTGGCTTTTTTGAATAAAACATCAAAAGCATTCAGTACTGGAGATATTACAAACATATTTCATTTGATTAATTAAAAAGAATTCTCTAAGGAAATATTTGATTTCTTGCACCATCCCCAAACATTATACACTCACATGACCTCTAGCCTTTCATTCCCCACAGAGTACTTGCACAAAATCCTGAGGGTAGAGTATATTATAAGAGCCATGGAAAGAATGCAATTGTGCATTTCAGCCCCCACATCCTCAGTTACTACCATGTAATTTATGTATTACAAAAATGACAAGTTTTCCTTTCAGTAGCATAAACAGCTTGACCTTGGATAAGGTTCACTTGATGTGGCAGAAGTCCTTAGTTGGGTTGCTTCTACATCTAAGCTTAAATTTGCTGGTTCAAAGTGAAGCTGCGTGTTGTCAAAGTTTGAATGAAATTTACTAGCAATATCTCAATCTGTGCTAGACAAGAGATTTATTTTCTTGTTATTGCCTTCCATGGAGCAGATAGAGCTCTCATTTATTACCATTGTCAGTATAATTCACTAGGAAGATCTGGCATTCTGATCTAAGCTCTGAGTCATTTTTTGTGAAA